CTATTAGACAGAAATTCTTGTTGTGTAAATTATGTCAGTGGAGCAAGGTTGCTTGCTGAAAGGGATTGATGGCAGAAAAGCCAGGTCACCAATTAACAGTCCATGGGTCAGGAGCCAGAGAGATCCACAAAAGGCTATCATACCAAGGTTCATTCATAGAGCAGGGGATAGGAAGTCACAGAACATACACAGAAATAATTAGTTATAAGAACTCTTAATTTCTTATCACATAAATGGGCTTCAAAACCCCTTTAAAAGGCCATCAAAAAGCTCCATGAAGTCTTAAAACAAACATTTGCAGCCCCTTTATTACTTTTCACCTGTTTCTGCATTGCTCCTGTAGTGAGTGGGCAGGCAAGCATTCATCTCACATTCACTGATAAGTACAGTAGCCATATCAGTTCAGTCCATGTTCAAGGAACTACCAAGCTGCTACCCAAGGTAGAAAGTGGAGCTAGTGTAAACCCAGAGGGCTTCTGGAAGAGGAAGTTTGAGACTTCCAACCCTACAGGCTCAGTCATTCTGCTGCACTCTCCATTTATAAAACCTGATAAATTCCCAGCATATGAACAATGGAAAAGTAGTATGAAGCTGTGCTAGGAGGAAAACCTAAGTATGAAGGAAAGAATTAGTGAACAGCTATGGGGATATAAGTTCTCCTTGCCAATGTACTGGCTAAAGGCTCAGGTCTAATGTTGATGGCATAGGACAGTTGGGTTTTTGAACTGAGACAAATAATGGTAAGAAAAAGTGAAGTTATAAGTTTAATTGATACATTAAAAATAAATCTCCAGGTATATAAAATACCCATCCAAGGATTCTTAAAATAATTATTTTATAATAATTTAATTATTTTAAGAACAATACTTTTAATAATTTTAATAAGTATGTAGACTGGGATGAACCCATAGGCAATGCATAGTTGGACTTTTAAAAAGCCTTTGATGAAGTTCCTCAGCAGAGGCTTCTGAGCAAACACAGCACTCATGAAAAAAAGATGATTGCTACTCATGGATTTGTAACTGGCTGAAAAACAAGAAAGAAAGATAATGAATTTGTATTTTTTCAAAATGGGTGAGGTTCCTCAGGAACTGGTACTTTTTAATTTGTTTATCAGTAATTTGTATGTAAAGGTTTGTGTGTGTGTGTATGGGTGTTTAATTTTGGTGATGTTTTAACAGTATATAGTTTGATTATATTAATTGCAACTGTATTGTTTAGAAATACAAAAACTAGAGACAGTTCTGCAATTTTCTGAAAGCTAGTTTATAAATGATAGCTTGCCTTGTAATTTCATAATTCTGGGAACTTTTGAGAGAGATAACAGAACTTATATTTGAGTATTTGAATAAATGTGAAATCCAACACTTCAATAATGTAATAAGTTGTTTTGATTTTCAGCATCCTGTTTGTGATACTTTATTTATTATGAATGGTACTAAGAGAAATTAAATAATTCATCAGGGACCTAATTTTGGATAAGACCATGGCTGTTAAGAAAAGGAAGGGACTGCTGATACTAGAAAGGTTGCTTTTCGGAAAGATTATTAATATCTAAAACTTAATTGCATTCTGATTTGCAATATAATCTTATCTACTTAGAAATATGGCCCACTGAATTCATAGGGCATTTTTTCATGGAAATATGTAGAGGAACGTATTCTAATGTGTGAATTTAACTTTTCATAAGACCAACAAGTTAATTGACCATATAAATATCTCAAAGTGTTTATTCCAATAGGCAAAAGTACCCTAAAAAGCTCATTTAATGTAACTTGAAACACATTCAAAACTTTACTTGGTAATTCTTTTGAATATGTGTACATTTGAATCATGACAGTGCAACAATTTGTAATTTTAGGGGGGTTGAAAATGAAAACATAAAAAGCAGCTGATATTAATTATGGTATCTCCAAAGGGTTGTGCATTAGCTATGTTCCATACCTATGTGGGGGCTACTACTGAGAAGGCACACTTCTGACTCCCACTCTTTTCACCTTGCGAAGAGTGAGGGCTCTCACCAGACACTGTTAGGATACATGCCTAAACCAGGCTAAAAGTTGGGTGAGGCTAAAAGTCCTGTAAGTAATGAGGTGCCAAGCCATAGAGAACTTTATAGGTGATTGCCAGTAATTTGAATTAAACTGGGATGCCTGTGGCAGCTATGCAGTGACTGAAGAACAGGTGTAATCCTGTAAAACCTATTGCTTCCTGTTAATAGTTGAGTTACTGAATTTGGACAAGTTGCAGCTTTTAAGTCATTTTCAAGGGCCATAGTCTAAAGATATATTTGAATCCATGACTTCTGGTGACTACACTACATGAATACATCCATGGAATTTTCTTGGTAATGGTACAGAAATACCGTATTTTTCCGACTATAAGACGATACTTTTTTCTAAAATCCTTACGCCAAAAATTGAAGGGCGTCTTATTTAAGGAAGTCAGCTGAGGAGAGAACGGTTGCAAAACTGCCCATACTTTGTCTCTGCAAAGAGGCTTCCTCCTATTG